TTGTAGTTTGCCACATCATATTTTTTATGGTGTATCTGAACTTTTATTTTTAATGCTGCCATTACCACCCATTCAAACAATGAGACAATATGCAGCTATAAAAATGAATGGGGAAGCCGGATAGTGGGATAAAAGTAAGTCCAAAGTAAGACAAAGAGCAGGATGCAGGCTGTATTGACTTTGGCGTGGAAGTAGGGGAGAACAGCTCGTCTGAATCTAGTTACTTGTATAACTAGTACAAAAGAGAACACAGGAGGAACACACAAGGAACTAACAGGCTATTTAGAACAGGAAGAGTAGGCAGAAGATAACTAAGCCAGTTGGGTACAGGGGTGAGAAGACACCTACACCGTTAGGTCCTTTAACCACACACACACACACACACACACACACAGCTTTGAAGTTCAAAAGAAAACATAAAATGCAGTAGCTCCAAAAACATCACAAGCTGAGGAATCTATAGGGGAGTCTGTAACACTAACTCATATTTTATTTGCAGGCCCTGTCATTTTGTGTCTTGCTAGTACCTCAAGGGTAAGCTACCAAAGGCCTACAGTTTGAACCCTAGGAAAAAGCAGATCAGGGAACTTCGGAAAACACAACCACCCGGTAATCTTCTTAGAGGCACTGGGGACTGCTCAGTGATCCATGAATGTCAAGGCAAACCTCTGATATGTGTTTTCCAAGTTCTAGATAAATCTCTTTATCTAAGGTAACCTTTGGGTCAATAAGAAATCCCAGCGACCATTGTTTTACGCTCCCGAGTGTTTCAGAGGTATTATCGCCCCTAGACTGCTAATGGCTCAAGAAATAGACACCATTTCTGGGAACTCTCTGTAAGCAGAGCAGGAGACGTGCAGCGAACCAGCCCCAACCACGACCATCAGCTCAGAGTATGGGAGAGAAGAGACCCCCTTGGTTGAATTAGGAAGACTCCTGCCCACCACAGGGACACTCTGGCTCATTTCCTCTGCACCTGGATTCTTTTCTCTTCTTCAGATTTTAAATACACCTCCATCTGATATCTGGAGAACGCTTATCATTGGAATAATTAAATGTACAAGCTGACACAACAAACCACCAATTTGTTATTTTGATGAAAATATTTTTGTATTTTCAGGAGATGGCTCAAAGTGTTGCCTTTGTTAAGCAGTCTTTGTTTTGACAAAGACCAAACAAGAGAAAGAGAAAGGCAGCTCTGGATCATTTTTCCTATGCAACTTAATCTAAAACCAAACAACGTGACTCCTGAGCGTGTTCCCCATTCCATTTCTAGAGCCGATTTCCCTGGGAACCTCCGCCCTCTCCCAGCTGTAGAGGGCAACACAATAGACTTGTCTTAAGTCGGGTAACCACTTTTAATTTGGAGAAATTATTACCCGGGGAGAAAATAGGCCGGTCCCATACTTCAAAGAAAAAAAATAGAAATCAAAATGCACACAGCCCCCCGAATTGGAACTGGACTGACTCTCAGTGTTGCCGTGTGCCTCGTAAGCAGCTGTTCAAATAAGTAGCTGCCCGGAGGAAATGGATAGTCAGATACTGCTGGTTCTTGCCTCTCCTTGCTTCGCACCTAAAAGCCAGATGCGAGTTCTTCCAGGGCGTACAAATAGATGCCTTCTGGTGGCTCATTATGGTAATTACTGGCCATATATTACAGCCATGTGAAAAGGGCTGTGCGGCAGGCAGGCCGGCCCAGGAGCCCTTACAGCTGGTTTATTTGTGTTGAGCTATTAAGAATCCTCCAGTTATCAGATCAACTACTGCCCTTTAGGTTTTACAAGCAAGCTGGTCCTTCATCTGATCCTCCATCTGCTACCTTTGTGATATGTTTAAGCACCACTTAGGGAGCTAACATGCTGCTTAGGAAAGTTACTTTACCTGCTTACAAAGAGTTTCTCAAGTCTACTGTGTCCAAGGAGAGCCGAGTGTTTTCTGCTGGACTCCTTCGCATTCCCTGCCCCCAACTCCTCCAACTGCTCCAAAGCCTTCCCTGCTCTTTGATCTTCCACTGGGCTGTGCACATCTTTGTTGGCCTCAGACACGTGTTGATGCAACTGAGTTTACGGCTTTGGGCAACTGAAGGGTTGAATCCTGGCTGTGCAGGGTCTGAAGCTCAGGTGATGTGGGAGGAGGCTTTCTTTTACAAAGAGAATAGAAAACTTATGAATATAAAATTAGGCACAGAAATGAATATTTGGGGTGAGAAATAAATTAATAAAGCTGACAAAGCTATAAGTATCACAAAATCTCAGAGAATGAGTTTTACAAATTAACGGCCTAACTCTCCTGTAATACTGTTTTCTTACAGTTTTGATTTCCTTTTAGTACAACAATGCTTTTATAATATTTTTATAGAGAAAAAAGAAAGATCATTTAGTGATCTTTGATTTAAAAAAATTTTAAGCACTTCGTTTGAGAAAAGTTTCTTTTAGCTTCACAATCTATGTGAATTTTTAGAATTCTTGATAAATTTAGGAAAATGTTTATTAATGTTGATTCATGAGCTATAATCTTCAAGTATTTCAAGTTTTGTTATGCAGTGACTAGTCAAGAATAGGTTGCATTGAAACACTCATTAACTACTTTGTCATATATGACATTATTGAACTATATCTCTTAATTACTGCTTTTGTTTTCATCTGAAATTTTTTTGTTGCTTCTCTGTGTCAGAGTAATTTTTATTGATTTCATCGCTCACCTTTGTTGTTTATTTCAAGTTACATTATTTTTTTCTAAATTCTCTTTTAGTTTTTTAATACATTATAGATGACAAAAATTATTCCCTTCATAAACATTCAAATCAAGAGGACACTGAAGAAAAATTCTTACTTGTTTTGTTGAGCCATTTGTTTCTCAATTTCAGAATAATTTTGCTAATTTAAAAAAACTAATACGAGCGTACTTCAAGAATTTCATGGAAAATTAGAATTCAAAGATTAAGTTTATTTTAGTGTAATTTTTGAAATCCGTGCATAGTTTTTTTGTAAGACATATTTCTCATGAACTTTTTGAAAACTGCTATTCATGGATTTCATTTTTTTCTTGCCCCCAAATAAGCGTATGTCTTATTTCCATTTTCCATGCACTTTTTTAAGTACCCTCTTATTTGCAGGGCACCCATACAAGTAGAACACTAATGAAGCTTGGGTTCCATTGGAACCATGAAAAAAATCCGTTTGGGGCCTCTGAGATGACCCCCAGCACTGCTCAATTCCCGGCACATCCCTGCTTCATGCAGTGTGTTGTTCAAGACCTGTGACTTGTAGCTATTACACTGAAATGTGGAATTAGGAGCTTCAAGGTAATTGGGTGTGCACGTATGCATTAGGGATGGTTCTAGCACTCCTAGACCCTCAGAGGATAATGAACAGAGGGGCAAGAAACTCCTGCTATAGAAGGCAGGGGAATGAGAAGGAGTGGTTCCTTGGAACTGTCCCCCTTTCGGCCTCATATCAGGACCCACTTCTAATGGCAGGCCTTTAGTTGTTGCAGTTGTACAAATTTGTTTCACAGGCAAGAGATAGACCACTCAGCAAATCCTTTTTGGTTGACAACATTATCCCACTAATTATAACAGCAAAATCAGAAATAACCTAAATATTTAAAAGTCAAGTGTTGGTTAGATAATGGATTACATAGCTATACAACAAATGCCTACAATACGTTAAATTTGCTGATTTGAAAACTGATCATAGGATATTTTTGCATGATACAAAACAACATGAAATATTGAAGTATCTGTTGTATCCACATATATAGGTACGGACACACACCTACCAAGGTGTTGGCAGTAGTTACTTCTAGACAGGTAGAATTTAAGATTTGAAACTTGAAAACAAAAAGACACTTCTATGTATCATTTAAATTTTCCTAGTGACCATCTTTTAGTAATAAGTTTTTAGTAATATAAAATGTTTTAATGGGGAAAAACGGCATTCTCACACTGGATTTCTTTATTCTTTCACAATTTAGAATAATGGCTTGCAATGTAAGATTTACACATGCAGCTCAATCATCGTGTTAGAACTCCACTTCCAAGAGGCAGTCATCTGCTTCTAAGGAATATTCTCCAGGACTTACTGTAGCAACAGGAGACGGGTCAGCCTCACATATGGCCACTGGAATCTGTAAATTCCTTCCCTGTGATTGGAGAATAGGCCAACATACCAAGAAATTAGTTCCAGGTGGCTGTAAGAGAAATATTTTATGTTTAATTGAAGTTCTCCAGGATGTCTATGTGTGTGTGTATATATATATAGAGAGAGAGAGAGAAAGAGAGAGAGAGAGTTCCTTGGAAAGGGTTGTAAGTGTTCTCTCACAATTGCATGTGGAATCAGGAAAGGACGGTACCCTTATGAAGTGTGGGGCATGTGCAGCTACGCTACCTGAATTTCAGCTGCCATCCATAACAAGCGTTGTGGTGAACGCGGTGTCAGCCAGCACTTAGGAGCCGCGGAGCTGAGGAGCCCTAACCTCACTCCATCCTTCTGAGATCATGCACAATCCCTGTGTGCAGAAGCGGCATCAAGGAGAGCTTGGTGAAAGGCACATTCCAGAGCTGTCCTCCCAGACATTTTGATTCCGTCGATGTGGGATGTGACCCAGGAATGGACAATTTACTTGGAGAAACACTGAAGAAAGTCGTGCCTGCTAATACAAGGGAAAATATAGCAGAGGGCAAGGGGAAAGCATTTGCCAGAACTCAAGAACCTGGATGTGTGGACAAGACACGGGGAGAGGAGCTTCTGGCCCTAAATGCTTTCCCCAGCCCCCCTCACCAGCTGGCGACCATGCCCCCTGAGTTGCATAATGCGAGCCCTTTGACTAAATTAATCAGTGCTGCAAAACTGGCCCTCCTCTGGCAGTTAACGAAATCATACTGTGTAGAAAAAACAATCCTTTCGTCCTCGGAGTAGCTGGAAACCCTGTTAAGATAATGACTTGGGCCTCACTTAAAAACCTGCCACATTCAACCTTCGAAATCTCTGCTCCTACAGATTGCTGCCCCGAGAACGCGTGCTTTGTCCCTGCTGGTGCTAATGGTTTTCTACGCTCCGTCCCGGACACGTGACAGCCCCGTGTCATAGCGCCACTGCAAAATGCATTCTCCGTGCCCAGGAAGAACCTGTATAAATATTCTCAATAAATAAATAACAGTTGTCATTTTCAGAATATGACAATCTCCAGCTGCCTGTGCTTAAAGTGAGCGACGTGTCATTTATCCTAATAGATGTGAATGCATGTATTGTACATACCAGTGAGTCACCTAATTCTTATTCACTCCCGCCTTGGTCTCAGCTGGGGGCAAGTGCCTCTAACAGGGTTTGGCTGGATCAAATCACAAGCTGAAAAATCTTGGTCAATTATAGAAGCCCGAGGCTAAGGAGGGAGTTGCCTTTTCATACCACCTCGCAGACCCCTCCTCTTCCCAGGCTTACGGGATGCGGACGCCAGTCAACCTCGCCTCTGTGGAATTCTGGGAATCGTTAGCCCCCCTGTAATTTAATGTGACTCAGTTGTTCTCCATCCTGGTGAGAAAGTCGCCTAATCCCCCTGGCATCCCCTCTTGTCAGCACCTCTTTATTTCCCTCTTTAAAGGCTCAACATGTTTTGATTTACACTACGCACCAAGATAACTGCAGGTGCCCTCTGTAAAAAGCAAGGTTAACTCACCTGAGATGAATTCTTTTATTGCACACAAAAGCAACTCAGGAGCAGGAAATACAATTAATACAGGTGTTTCCCTGACACTTAGCAAGCGCTTGTTATCCTGCAAGGCGAAAAGCCTTCGCCAGTCGCCTGGAGGTTCCTTTCATGCTATGTCAGAGAAGCCAGAATCTGAACTGGAATACATTTTCAGGAACAGACGGGGTAGCCCTGTAGGCGCAGGCGAAGCCCAGGATATTTAGGGGGTAAGTAAAGAATTGACCCAAACTGACCCCAACGTGAGAATTTCTGGGAACAGCCCATCCAATGAAATCAGGCGGGTTTCTACGTGTTTAGTGTTTAGGGCTGCATTCTGGCTTTAACACCCCAGTTAGGGCAACCTATGTAGACCCTGTCCCTTGATTCTCCTTGGAAATACCTAATGGTTACATTAATTCAAGGAAAATGTTGTGAGACAGAGGTGCTAACTTTCTCTTTTGTTTGCCTGAGGTTCTGAGTTTTGCTGTTCTGGTAGCTGACAGTTCACTACTTTAAAATTTCAGAAGTTAAGGGAGAGTTTTATCACGAACTGTAAGTAAATCTTTGCAGGGTATGTTGCAGATTATGTTGAGAAATAATCAAAAAGGAAATCAAGCAAAATAAACGCTTCAGTCCTACAAACAGCTTAATTTCGTGAAACTTTTTTTTAAAGAAAATTTAGATCAGAAGTCACGAAAAACAAAAGGAAGAAATTGTCGACTTAGCAAGAACACCTGACGAGCACTCAAATAATTAAATTGCCAAGTACATTACATTTAGTTTCTAACAATCTGGATCACTTCTCCAAACAATGTGTTTTCTATCTTTTAAGCTTATTTCGTTTGGGTCATTTCACCAACTAAGGTGTTTGGTTTCAGCGTCGGCTGGGGTACTTTCTGATATAAGTTCATCCAGGTAGCTGCAGCCACCTACCTCTGCCGCTGCGATCTTCCCTCTGACCATCTCTGCCTTCCCCAAAGCTCACGCACAAAATAGTTTCAGCAAATGCTTTTGGCAGAGCCACACTTCCTCAAAGGCAGGATCTACCTGCCCTGGGAATGACAAGATGACACGGCTGCGTGCTCAATTACACCTGTTCCTCTTCTCCAGTAATTGCTTTAGATCTTGCCAAATTACGTGCTGGCTTTCTCAGGCACTCTAATTCAAATTGGAGTGAAGGCGCTAAACTTTTATAAATCCCTTCGTACCACGGCCTGATGGCTGGAAGCAATGTCTTTATTCTCCAGAATTTGTCTCTTTCATGACCCGGTTATAAATCCTGTTACTTCGGACCCTCGAATATGTTACTATGTTCTCTTCTGCATAGTCTGTACACAATGCTAATTTTTCTATCCCTGGATTTTTATGTAATGAAAAGAATGCTTTGTTGTGGAGTTTCCTATGAGTGGTAGATATAAATGTAACCAAGGAGTTAAATAAGATTGCCAGATTTGCTAAGTAAAAATACAACATGCCTAGCTGAATTTCAGATAAACAAGGAATTATTTGTTAGTGTAAGTATGTCCCCTGCAAAATTTGAGAAATAATTATACAAAAAAAATCCTTGTTTATCTGAAACTCAAATTTAACTAGGCACCCTGTATTTTATCTGGCAACCCTGGAGTTGAATAAAGCCAAAATAGATTTATATCTGTATGTTTGTATGGGTAACATTTTATGGAGAAACAAAGAAATGGATTATATTTCAACTCTGGTATTGGAAAAATTTGAAAGGACTAATTTAAATAATAGGTAAAAATAAGATTATTGGTAAATATTAATGTGAATGGAGGTTTCATGCTTTTTTGCATTCTGGTAAAATATAAATTTTCTCTGCATGTATAAACATAAAACCTCCATTGTTTTCTGCCTGAATTAGCACTTGTTATTTTTGTGCATGACCCTCTAAAACACTGCCATTACTCAAGTCATCTGTAGTCACTCAGAACTGGTAGAGCTGAGAATAGCAAATGGAGAAATAGGAGTTTGATTAAAATTAGCTTGATTTGGGATCAGCATTGTGGTGCCGTGGGTTACTACATCGCCACTTGCCCAACACTAGCATCCCATATTGGAGGGCTGATTTGAGCACTGGGTGTTCACTTGCAGTTCAGTTCCCTGCTAACGCACCTAGGAGGGATTAGGAGATGTCCCAAGTTCTTGGGACCCTTGAGAGACCTACATGGAGTTCCTGACTCATGGCTTCAGCCTGGTCCAACCCTGAGTGTTGCATCCATTAAGGGAGTGAACCAGTGGAATGGAAGGCCTCTCTCTCTCTCTCTCTCTCTGGCTCTACCTCTCTCTGTAACTCTGTCCCTCTCTCCCTCTCTCCCTCTCTCCCTCTCTCCCTCTCTCCCTCTCTCCCTCTCTCCCTCTCTCCCTCTCTCCCTCTCTCCCTCTCTCTCTCCCACCCCCCTTCCTCACTCTGTCACTCTGCCTTTGAAATACATAAGTCTTTAAAAATAAGCTCAATTTGAGGAAAAAGGGACTCTGCTTTAAATTTGACTGTCATAAGCAAAATATTAGGAATCAAGTACCTCAGATAATTTTCAGAGTCCATGAAAGGTGTACTAAAGATCATTTATTTCATAATCATTATCACACAATTCTACTTTCATAGTTCATGATTACAAGCAAAACAAACAATGTGATGTGCTTTCTCCTTATGATTTCTTTCATCACATTTCATAATATAAAACAATTTTTAAGTATTTATTAATGTTAAAGCATTATACATCATTTTGATTGCTGTTAGAATTTTGCACTTTGAAGTTTTATAACACATGTACTGGGATGGGTGTGTAGTATGGTGATTAGAGCATAGCTTGAGACACCTGCATTCATGTCAGAGTGCCTGGGTCTGAGTCCTGGTTCTGCTCTCAATCCCCACTTCCTGCTAATGCGTACTGTACGAGGCAGCAGTTGATGGATCACTCAAGCAATTAGATCCCTGCCATGCATGCTGGAGACCTGGATTTGCCTGATCAGTCCTGGCGTTTGGAGAGAGAACTAGCACATGGGAGATCTCTGTCTCTCCATTTCTCTGCCTTTCAAATAAAAGCAATTAATTAAATGTACTAATGTTGATCTTATGTATAATTGAAATATTTCTTATAGTTTTTTTCTTTACATTTAGCATGAGTCTGTTGATGATTCTCAGAATTTTCTTTCTTACTCTTAAGTAGAACTCAAAACAAAAAGAGAATGTTACTACTTCTATTATTGGAATAGGATTTTATGATCAAATACTATACCTGTCCATGTGATCTCTGATGTTATAATTTGAAGTTCCAAAAATAAAGTGTTTTTCTTTCTAATTGGCGTGATGTAAGGAAGACAATGACAAGTGTGTGTTTGTTGCAACTCTAACAGGTGAACAACAGGCTTATAACATGACAGTATAAAGGTTAGACCTGCTGATGTAAATGTTTTCTCAATCATTCTATCTAGGTGTCTACAGTATTTAATATTGTGTGGTAAATATCTGTTTAAAGTCTGGGTGAGATGTGAAATTCATTGTGCTAGGTTCTAACACATAGGTAAATGTGTATGTATACAGGTATCCATTCTCAGACCCCAAGTGGATGCCTGAAACTACAAATAGTACCAAACCCTATCTATGAATTAAGTTTATCTTTGTGAAGAAAAATTTTGAAATCCATGCATAATGTTTTTCCCCAAAGAAACCTTTTATTTAATGAATACAAATTTCATAAGTACAACTTTAGGAATATAGTTATTCTTCCCACCATACTACCCGTACTCCCACCACTCTTCCTCCCCCTTCTCCCATTCCCAGTCCCATTCTCCATTAAGATTCATTTTCAATTAACTTTATACATAGAAGACCAACTCTATACCAAGTAAAGATTTCAACAATATGCATGCACACACACACAAGTGTTTGAGAACAAGTTTTACAGTTAACTCTCATAACACAATTCATTAAGGACAGAGTTTTACAGTTAACTCTCATAACACAATTCATTAAGGACAGAGGTTCTGCATGAGAAGTTAGTGCACAGTGACTTCTGTTAATTTGACACTCTTATATATGATATCAGTGACCACTCAAGGCTCTTGACATGAGCTGCCTATGCTGTGGGAGCCTTTTGAATCCACAGGCCACATCAGTATTTAGACAAGGTCATAAGCAAAGTGGAAGTTCTCTTCTCCCTTCAGAGAAAAGTACATCCTTATTTGATGGCACTTCTTTCAACTGTAGTCTCAGTCACAGAGATCCTTGGTGTAGAACATTTTATTGCCACAGTGTCTTGGCTTTCCATGCCTGAAATGCTGTTGTGGGCTTTTCAGCCAGACCAGGATGCTTTAAGGGCTGATTCTGAGGTCATAGTGCTACTTAAGACAGTCATCATTCTGAGTCTGCTGTGTGGACTGCTCCCCATGTTGGAACATTCTCTCTTTTTTAATTCTATTTCAATTACCAGATATTTGATCCTATTTATAGGTCACTTTAGCACTTAATC